AGCGAAGAGGGTGTTGCGCTACTTGTGCAGTACGTCGGGCATGGGGCTTGTGCTTGGAGGGCAGAGTCCAGTGGTCCTCACTGGGCACGCAGACGCTTCTTGGGCTGACGACCAGGCTACGCAGCGGTCGTCACAGGGTTACACCTTCAGCCTTGGTTCCGGCTCTGTCTCGTGGCGGGCTACCCGCTCGTCTTCTGTTCTCGGCTCCAGTTGTGAGGCTGAGATCTACGCAGGGGCCATGGCTGCACAGGAGCTTCGCTGGCTCACCTACCTGCTGACTGACCTCGGAGAGCCGCCTCGTTCTCCTCCAGTGCTGTACGTAGACAACAAGGCCATGCTGGCCTTGTGTCGGGAGCAGAGACTGGAGCACAGAACGAAGCACATTGCTCTTCGCTACTTCCTTGCTCGTGAGCTACAGCAGCGTGGTCAGCTACGCCTTGCTTACGTGGCCTCTCAGGCCAACACTGCTGATATCTTCACCAAGGCACTTGCGCCTTGTGATCATCAGCGCTTCTGTACTCAGCTGGGTCTTGTGCCTACCTTGCCTCACTTGCTCACCCCTTGACCTTGTTTGTACTGTTACATATATATATACACCTGCTCTTGCTTGTTTAGCCTTATATATATATGTAATCCTGCATGTGAACTGGCCTTGTGGCCTTGAACTTGTGCTCGGAATGTGTGGTGACGTTGTGATCCACCCTGAGCTTGCTTTGCTTTACTTGACTGGTCTTGTGACCCCTTGTCCTCCCCCACTTTGCCTATGGGGGTGTGTCAGATTTATATGACTTAGCTGCTGTAGGCTATAGTGGGGTAGCACATATGGGGTACAGCTTTCTAGGGTTTGTACTTGTACCCAACTTTCCCTTAGTCATTTCATTCCTCGTTCATTTTCACATCTTCTTGGAGGGTTGGACGACCACGTTCAACGGGCTAATGCGTGTTAGCGACAACGATGAGGGTACTACTCGGGCCGCGCCAGTCGCCAACAGCTCAGCCACCGCCTCGGCCGCGAAAGTGATAAAGTGCATCGCGCCGGCGTGATTGGCTGCAATGATGCGGGGTCGGTTCCGATGAGGCCCATGGAAGGCGGTAGCCTGAAGTAATTACCGACGTGATAAAACGGCTCTCGCACCACGTGCTCCACCATGCCGCACGAGGTCGACCACTCATGCGTGGTGTACTGACGCCTAAATCTTCGAGAGTAGCGGGGCCGCCGACTTCTGGGGGGTGGGCACGAGGTAGAAGGGCAAGGTTAGACTGGATGTTTCATGATAATGCACAATCTTCTTCATGCTCTCTTACCCCTTCTCTCTCATCTTCTCTCGCTCCTTTTCTTTCTCTCTCTTCCGAAAACGGAGGAAGGTAGGGCTTCACCCACTTGTGTACCCCTTTTTCTCTCCAGCCATAAACATGCATCACTTTTTTTTTTTTTTTTTTGAATGGCAAATCTTTCTCATGGCTAATAATAATAATAATCCACAATCAATTGCCGAACTCGTAATTCAGGAAAAATCTTTAAACAATCTTAGCAGGCCTATTGGCCCCTTGACCCCGCTGTGGGCAATCAGCAATCCCATGGCCAGATTCGCGGCAGTAAAAACACCGCCCGTCGCCGTCTCGACGCCATGTGTTCCAATGGTGTTCTCCCTGCCCTCTACTACGGGGGGGAGGATCGGCGCGAGAGCTCGGGTTGGTGGGCCGAATAGGCCTCTTTTTACTGGCCGCCACAATCTGGGTAGCGGCCTTCACATTCTTGTCCTCAACCACTTCTCCATATTTAATCTTTAGGGCCATGTTGGCCACTTCAAAACCGCGTTGGTCCGCGGTGAAGAGAAAGTGGATTTTTTCCTCTGCCTCCTCTACTATCTGCTGAAGGTAATCGGCGGCTTGCTCGCCGCCATGTGAAGGTAAGACAAACATGGCATGACGTGCAATAGCTTGGATACGTTCAAAACTGAAAAGTTGCGTACGGATTCCATCACTCTTTACCAAAGACGAGCGCAATTGGGGGCGCGCGGGGGGAATAGGAGCAAGGGTGAGGTTGGCGGAGCTGGACTTGGGGCGAACAGCATTACCTTCTTCCGGGCTCTCGGCGTGTGGGTCGGCATCCGCGTCTTCGCCGTCATGTTCGTCGGCGGGAGGAGGGATGCGAGCGCGGGGTGCTGTTGCTGCTGGCGGGCGAGCAGGTTCGGGTGGTGGCGCAGGTTCGCCATGGTTTCCACGCTGTAGCGCGGAGAGGAGGCCAATCACGTGGTGGATTGCGTCGTTGTTGGTAGTTGGAATGTTGTTGTTGGTATAACGCGCAGAATTATTTTCTGCAGAACGGGGTGCTGTAGATGCAGCGGAGCGGGCTGCAGCGCGTTCGCCGGTGGCACCTCCCGTGAGGATTCGCTGAAGGATTCGCTGCGCGTCAGGATCCAGACGCGCCAGGATCTCAGCAAAATCGGCAGCTCCCGATTGGATATGCGCGCATCTTGCGGGGTGCGTTGATTCGCTCGGCGAGCAGCAGAATCCGGGCGTCGATCTTCTCGCCTGGCGTCCATAAAATTTCGCGCATGTGCCTGCGCGTGCTGGTCAAGATTCTGCTCGTGCCCCTCTCCGCGATTCTCGCCACGAGCTGCCCTCCCAGAATCTCGAGGTTGCTGGGGGTGCTGGTCAAGATTCTGCTCGCGCCCCAGCGCTCGAATCTCGCGGTCAAGATTTTGGCCGCCTCCCACCTCGCGATTCTCGCGGTCAAGATTGCGGTCGCGCCTCTGCTCATGATTTTCGCGGTCCAGATTTCGATCGCGCCCCTGCTCGTGGGGTGCCGCGCGTGGGGCGTCCTCAGCGGGTGCTGGCGACCGTTCGGGACGTGACGGAACATTTCCGCCCGCCGGATTTGTGTTGATACGCTCGCCCGCAACCTGCCGTTCGCCGTTAAAACCGGGGGGTAGATCGCGCACACCATCCGCTCCGACATTTTGGGAAGTCGAAGCGTTGACTTGTCGTGACCCATTAAAGCTGCAGTATACATTTGTCAGCTGGGTTTAGGGTTTTTATTGTGTGCCTCACAGCTTTGGGGCAACTTTTCAAATTTCAAAAGTTTTTGAACCCAACCTTTCAAATGTATACTGCAGCTTTAAGCAAGTCGAGAGCGGTAATTGTGCCAGCTGCTTCCCGACGAGGTGAGCGAGAACGATCACGGAGGGACGAGGCAAGATCTCCCTCACGCGTGGGTGAACCGCGACGTCCGTTACTCCTTAAATTCATGCGAGTAGGGGGAGGTCTTCCAGCCACAACAGAAATAAATCCGCTAGCCATTGTGGCTAAACGAGCAGCAACTACGTCTTCTAACAAAGTTTTCCTATGCCCAGATCTGGGCATAGGAGGGGTTTTGAGTGTGCTGGTGGTAAGCAAGAGAGTTGAAAATTGCAAATGAGACTAGGTGGTAGGTCCCCAAGACCTGCCGAGAGATGAAGGAGCTTGTCTCCTTTACAGCACACCCCTCTTCAAATCGAATCACAATCTGTAAAATTTTTATTATAAAAAAATTCTCATAGTGTACTGACAAGCTCCGAGATGATGCTTTACACCCGCCAAGTGATGTGTTACCGGCAAAATTGCGCGACGCGCCGGCGCGCGAACTTTTCTCAATCCCATCGACCAGCCTCGCACCGCAAGTAGGGCGACCGAGCCTCGTCCAAATGGATCGACCTACATGCGCTTCCACGTTATTTTCATGCTGCAGACGAGTTCATCTTGACGTTAGAGGTGCCATTTGGTTTTACGGCCAGAATCGCGGGATTACAGCTTGGGGTTTCGATCCTTTCATCAAAGACACATTTCGCGACGTGTGACGTCACTTCAGTCTGGTCGCGCAGACAAGGCTTGTCTTATGCTGTTTTTCTTTGGTCTGTTTTTTTACGGTGTAAAACGAACTAAACCCCGTAGGGTGGCATGCATACTTTCAAGTATCAACCCTAAACACCTTGACAGTTCCCGTGTTTAGGGTTGATCCCTCTCGAATTGCACCACATTCAAGGCATTAACCCTAAACACCATGCTTCCCGTGTTTAGGGTTGATGCCTCCCAAATTGCGTTCCTGCCTTTAGGGATTTTTTTTTTTTTTTTTTAGCCCCTGCTTAGATTCAGAGCTCCGTAGATGTTTCAGAAAATCGCGTTTGACACGCGCCAAAAAAGAAAAACATATCAGAATCCCAACCACTAGACCATTGGGATAAAAGGGCTTGTTAAGTAGCGAGTCAGTGCGCCCATAACCCCCCAGGCCAACATGCCTGTAACCCTTCCCTAGGATCGATCGGGGATCACCAGTGGACCTCTGACACCCCCCCGCACTGGGATGTCCGAAGTGCACACACCGGGATTCGAACCCGAGACCTTCGCTCTGATACCATATCAGAATCCCAACCACTAGACCATTGGGATAAAAGGGCTTGTTAAGTAGCGAGTCAGTGCGCCCATAACCCCCCAGGCCAACATGCCTGTAACCCTTCCCTAGGATCGATCGGGGATCACCAGTGGACCTCTGACAAAACATGTAGACATAAAACCTGACACGCGCACGAAACATTTTTGCGCCATCAGAAACAGACAAAACAACCGAAACTTGTAAGGTCAAGGCAATATAGCCACAACTGCGACCTTGTTTTTACGAAAACACGAACACCACCTGGCAAACATGTGCTGCGCGAAACAGTGACAATTAGGAAAGCCACTAATGATTACACTCTAAATTGTATATCAACATCGCGTAAGCGCATGTAGGTCGATTCATTTGCGAGGGGTTCGGTCGCCCTACCTGCGGTGCGAGGTTGGTCGATGGGATTGAGAGAAGTTCGCGTGGCGGCGCGTCGCGCAATTTTGCCTGTGTTACCGCTACAAGATACCATATTTGTCCAGCATATAAACAATACATAAATTAGAGGAGTAAGCGGGAAGCTACGTTCGGATTAGTGGAACAGCATATCCACCAACGCTAGCTTAGCAGTCAGCTCATGTCAGTTTGTATGGCCTTCGTCCTTGGAGGCTCCTATACTGAACTTCTGCAGAAGCTGCGATATCTCGTCCAAATGTGGCTCTTCCAAGGGGACCTGCATATGCAAACACGGAAACAAACGTTTGGGGAACAGAGCGGGCGGTTGAGGAAGAGACATCTCTTGAAGAAGGTAAGGTATTTCTAGGTTCTGCAAAAAGAAAAGAAGAACCAGAATGTGAAACTGTGAATGAGACCAGGGAAGCCTCTTACAGATTCAGTCGCTGTTGCGCTCCGTTCCTCGCCCGAACCAAACAGGCGTACGGGCCGCACCTGCCGCCTTCGCGTGCCCAAGGCTGATGCACCGGTTCGAGAGAGAGGAGAAGAGGAGGATCGGAGGATGGGGGAGGACGACGCTGATGCAGAGTGCTTGGCTTGTGGGGCCGACAGGGGAGCAGGGAGAGGGGCCGATGCCGCAGGAACCCCTGACTGGCTTCGACAGAGGGTGCCGCTGCTGGTGGCATGCTGCAGTGGCGATAGGTATTGTGTTTCCGGTTGTGACGGGTTAAAGGGACTGCCGCTATCCCTCACAGTGACAGTAACCGTTTCTGCCCCACACTGTGAGGCACCATGATAACCACACAGTGTATCATCTCCCTTACTGCTGCGTGCATGATCTCTGTTGCTGTCGGCCTTGTGTGATGAAGCTGAAGGTGAAGCAGAGGGTGAAGCTGCGGATGCCGCTGAGGGTGAGGCAGAGGTCACCGCGCTCCACTGCTTCATCTCCTCCAAAGCTGCAAAAATGCTCCTCTCCACCTGCTTCCTTGCACCTTCCTCCTCCTCTTCCTCCTCATCCTCATCCTCCTCCTCATCCTCGTCCTCCTCCTCATGACTCACATCATCATCACTACCACTGCCATCGTTACTAGCACTGCCATCATCACCATCTGCACTATTGTCATCACAATCAAGAGCACGACTCGCACCAGCACCATCATCAGCACCACAAACGTCCTCGCTACCGTGAGCATGACGGACAGCACCACTCACCATGTCGCACTTCCAGCAGCCACCAGCCTTGCCACCACCGTTGCATGCCACATACCTGCTCTGCCTGCTATCCGCCTCTTCCCCACCATCGCCCTCCTCATCCGCCCCTCCATGCTCACCCAATCCCAGCAGCTCCTCCAGCATGCTGTCCACGTCATCCCCCTCCCCTTCCAAGTCATCCCCCTCCCCTTCCACGTCATCCCCCTCCCCTTTTTCCTCCGCCTCCTCCTCCCCCTCTTCCCCCCCCTCTGCCTCCTCCGTCTCCGCCTCTCCATCATCCTCAGGTCCTTCCTCATCCTCCGTCCATTTCCTTTCCTCCAGCCCCACTCCCCCTTCATCCATTGCACAGCCTGATACACGATTCTTCGCTGCTACAGCTGCAGCCGCCGATCCCTGTGCTGCTACAGATGCCGCTACAGCCGAGGCAGCAGCCTGCTCTGCAGCTGCCTCGATAGCTGCAGCCACCATCACACGCAAACATGCTTCCTCAACCTCCCCTCCACCCTCCTCCCTCTCCTTCTCCCTCCTCCTCTCCCTCTCCCTCTCCCGCATTCTCATCCTCACCCGTTCCCTTACACGCAGCCTTTCTCTTACCCTCTCCCCCTTCCTCTCCCTCTCTCTTTCCCGCTCCCTCTCCCTCTCCTTCTGCCTCACCCTCACCCTCTCCCTCACTCTCTCCCTCTCCCTCTCCTTCTCTCGCCCCCTCTCCCTCTCAACCGCTTTCCTCACACCCTCCTCCACAGCAGCTTCAAGAACAACCGCCCCCACGTGCACCATCCCTCTTGCTCTCTCCTCCTCCCTCTCTGCCCTCCTCTCCAACTCCTCCCCAAGCTCTCTGCACCGTTCTCTCTCCTCCACCACTCTCCTCGCGGCCGCAGCAGCAGCAGCATGAGCAGCACGAGCAGCCTCCCTTGCTGCTGCTACCTCCATTGCCCTCCCCACCTCAATTCCCCCATCCCCCATATCTCCTTCCCTCTCCACCTCCCCTCCCTTCCTCGCCTCCTCTGCTCCCCTCCTCACCTCCTCCTCTCTCCGTGCTATCTCCTCCTCCTTTTTCCCTACCTCTACCTCCCTTCCACTCACCTCCTCCTCCCTCTTAGCTAAGAGCAGCAGTTGCTCGTCCCGCCGCCTAAGTGCCTCCTCTAAGAGCCACACATCTTCGTCCAACTTCTCCTCTCCCTCCCTCACTCTCTCCTCCCTTTCCCTCAGCCCCTCCTCCCGTCTTACCCTCTCTTCCATCCTCACTCGCCCCTCCTCCACCACAGCAGCACTCCGAGCCTCCACAGCAGCTTCGGCTTTGGCAACAGCTGCCCATGCAGCATTCAGCTTCTCCCGAGCCTTCTGCTCAGCTTCGGGCCATACCTCCTCCCAAACCTTTTCCCGAACTTCCTCCCGAAGCTGCTCCCAGAGCTCCTCCCGTACCTTCTCCCGAACCTGTTTCTCAGCCTCGTGCATCCGAGCCTCTGCCTTGGTCACAGCCTGGCTAACTGCCGCCTCTGCTACCCCTTCCAGCGCAATCCCCACGATTTCCATAGTAAACCTCTCTTTCTCAGAAGTTTCTACTGCCTTATCAGCCTGTGCTAGTGTTACCACCTCACCCACCGCCGAATCTAATGCAACCGCTGCAATTTCCATCGTAAACCTCTCTTTCCGAGAAGCTTCCGCTTCCTTTTTCTCAGCCTGTGCCACCATCTTCCTAACCGCTTCACCCATAGCTGACTCCAAGGCAACTGCTGCAATCTCCATTGTATACCTCTCTTTCTCAAAAGCTTCCGCTTCTGTCTCAGTCCGTGCTACCATCCCCTTCGTAATTGCCTCACCCACAGCTGCCTGCAAGACAACCTCTGCAATTTCCATCGTACACCTCTCTTTCTCAGAAGCTTCTTGTTCCTTCTTCTCAGCCCGTGCAACCGCCTTCCTAACCGCCTCACCCACCGCTGACTTCAAAGCAACTGCTGCGATTTCCATCGTATACCTCTCTTTCGCTGAAGCTTCCGCCTCCGACTTTGCAACCGCCTCACCCACCACTGACTCCAAGGCAACCGCTGCAATCTCCATCGCATACCTTTCCCTCTCAGACACTTCCGCTTCTGTCTCAGCCCGTGCTACCACTGCCTTTCTAACCACCTCACCCACCATTGACTCCAAGACGACCGCTGCAATATCCATTGCATACCTTTCCTTCTCAAAAGCGTCCTGAATCCTGGATTCCAGCTCACTCACACGTGACTTGAGCTCCTCACTCTCCCTCACACCCCTCTTCTTTTCCGCTCTGCTTCCTTTTGCCCCTCCCTCTCGCATCTCCCACCTCACATGCTGCAGACCCCTCTCTTCCTCGCCATTCCTCTCCCTGCCCCTAGACACCACCGTATCAACCACAGCAGCAGCCATATGCTCGAATTGCTGCAGCACAAGGCCAGCCTCCTCAGTTGACTTCGAAACCACCCTAGTCACCACCGCATCTACCACACCAGCAGCCAGGCCCTCAAATTGCTGCAGCACAAGCCCAGCCTCTTGTTTTGATTCAGAAATCACCTTAGCCACCACTGAATCAACCACAGCAGCAGCCAACTGCTCAAACTGTTGCAGAAAAATCCCAGCCTCCTCTGCCTGCGTTTCCGCCCTCTCCCTCTCCTTCTCCCTCTCTTCCCTCTCTTGCTGCACGATCAACCTCTCCATCTCCCCCTTCTCCCTCTCCCTCCTCAACTCCTCTCCAATCTCCCTGCACCTCTCCCGACCCCTCTCCACCTCTTCCCGCAGCTCCTCACACCTCCTCCTCTCCATCTCCACCTCTCCCTCCAACTCCCGACACCTCCTCCCCTCCCTCTCCACCTCCCTCTCCAACTCCTCACACCTCCTCCTCTCCTCCCCAAACAATCTCGCCACCCCTCTAACCGCCTCTCTCCCTGCTGCCGCCTCACCCTCCGCTGCTGCTGCTACCGCCTCAGCAGCAGCAGTCGCAGCTTCGGCTGCAGCCACTGCCTGTGCGTGCAACGCGTCTCTTGCCTGCTCTGCTGCCTCTAACCTCCCCTGCCACGCCCTCTCCCTCTCCTCCCCGTCTCTCACTTGCTCCTCCAGTGACTTTAGACTCGCCACAGCTGCTGCTGCAACGTCAGAGGCAACAACAGCAGGAGCTGTATCCTTTGAACCAGTGCTGCACATGGTCCTGGTGCTTTCTTTACTGTTCATCAGGACCATGTCTTCAGCTCTAGCCACTCGCTCCTCCAGCTCACGCACCTTCCTCGCAGCTTCCTCCAGCTCCCCCTGTGCAATCTGCATCGCTTCTGCCCTCCCTTCCTCTCTCCCTTCCCTCCTCCCTTCCTCTTTCCCCTCCTTCCTCCCTTCCTCTCTCCCTACCTTCCTCCCTTCCTCTCTCCCCTCCTTCCTCCCCTCCTCTCTCCCTTCCTTCCTCCCCGCAATTCTCCCATCCAGTCTCACATCCTCCATCCCTTCCCTCCACGCCTCCTCCCTGCCCTCTCTCCTCCCCTCCGCCCGCCCTTGAGCATAAGCCTCGTCAGCAGCAGCGCGGGCAGCAGCCTTCACCTGCTCCATCTCCTCCCTCGCCTCCTCCATTACCGCCGCCACTGCCTCTGCTATCATCCCCGCAGCGTCGCTCCCACCATCACTCGCACCATCACTCGCACCATCACTCGCACCGTCATTCCCACCATCACCATCACCATCACCATCCCTTTCCACATCCTCCTCCCCCTCCATCCCTTTTCCATCTCTCCTACCTTCACCGTCCTCCTCACTTTTCTCCACCTCTTTACCACCCCCATCGTCACTGTGAGTGCTGTTACTACAGCCCCTCTCGCACCCAGAACCACACACCATATTTGAGCCCACATCCTCCCCAACCCCTGCTCTCCCTCCCTCCTTCCCACGCACAAGCCCACGCTTCTCATTTTCTCCCTCGCTGTCCCCCACTCTCATCTCCCTCCCCTCCGTTCTCCTCTGCTCCACTGCGCCTGCCACTTTCATTGCCAGCTCAGCAGCCAGCTTTTCCAGGTCAGCTTTCAGCTGCCTCGCCCGTGTCTCGGCTTCCTCCCTCGCTGCCCTCTCAGCTGCAAGCAATGCCTCCATCCGTTCTATTTCGATCTGATTGGATTTGATTCTCTCCATCTCCGATGCTGCCTGCTGCTCCCCTTGCAGCTGCAGCGTACTAGAAGAGGGACCAGCAGCAGCAGTACAAGAAGCACCACCACCAGAACCAGCAGCAGTGGCAACAGGACCATCAGCAGAAGCACCATTAGAAGCAGCAGCACCCCCACCAGCATTGGAAGCAGCAGGCGAAGACACAGACGCATCCCTTCCCTCCGCTTTCCTCTCTCCCCCTTCCATCCTCCTCCCCATCCGCTCCTTCTCCTGCTCCAGCCGTTTCATCTGCGCCTGCATGTCCAGTATCATCTCATCCCGACGTTTCAACTGCGCTCTCAGCCGTTGAAACTCCTCCCTGCGGAACAGAGGCGTTGGCCTGCTGCTGCTGCCACTGCCACCGCTGCTGCTGTTGATGGCACCAGGAGGGGGAGCAACTGTGCTGGTCAGACCAGGAGAGGCAAGCACAGGAGACGCGGAGAAGAGGGGAACAGGAGAAGAGGAGAAGAGGGGAGTGGGAGAGGCCGAGAAGAGGAACGAAGGGGGAGTGGATGCACTGTGGGATGCAGCAGAATGGAAGGCAGTGCCCGTCCCACCTGCACCACCAGTAGTAATACCACCACCAGCAGCAGCAGCAGCAGCAGCAGCAGCAGCACAAGTGCTGCTTGCGCCAGTGAAAGGCATGGAGAAAGAATCTGAAAACCTCCTCCCTGCTGGAACACTCCCAAACCGAAACACGGCAGCCGGTGCCTGGCCTGAAACACAGGCTTCAGTAAGTGCAATCGCTGCTGCTGGTGCTGGTACTGCTGGCGTGCCAAGCCCGCTCGTGCCTCCCACAGCTGCTGAACCAACCCTGCCGCCAAACTGCCACTGTGCCGCGTTTGCCGCCGCTGCTGCTGCCCCTGTCGCCGTGACTGCAGCGCCAGCAGCAGCACCAGCAGCACCAGGAACACCAGCAGCACTACTGGCTGTTGCCGAAGCAGACACAGATTCCATTGCCAGATCCTTAAGCGGCGTTGTCTCCCGCCCTTCCTCACCTCCTCCTCCCTCTCCGCCTCCTCCACCTCCTCCTCCTCGCCCTGCCTCCACCACACGGGAAGTAGGCAGCAGTGCGGAAGAAACTGACGAATTTGAGGAGAGCGAGAGTCCATGAAGAGCCGGCAGGCCACCCGCCTTTACTGCCGGCAGGCCGCCCGCCTTTACTGCCGGCAGGCCGCCCGCCTTTACTGCCGGCAGGCCGCCCGCCTTTACAGCCGCGCTCAACGCCTCTCCATTCACCACAGCGCCTCCCTTCCTTGAGCCATCAGCTAATTGCGCTACATCACCAACACCACCAGTTGCAGCTGCGGGGTCTGGTAGAGCCGCCGCGAATGGAGTGAGTCCCACGGAAGGAGGCGGTGGGGTAGAGGAAGGAGGAGATGCCAGGGGGATTTCAGATGCAGGAAACGGGGAGGGAGCTCCGGGGAAACGTGAGGGGGTTGCAGTGAATGGCGAGGGCGCAAACAGGTGAGTGGCAGAGCTGCCTTGATTTGACCCCGCAGCAGCAGGGCTGTTGGCCGCACCGGCTGTGGCAGAAGCAGGGGCAGCAGTACTGGCAGTGAAAGCACTGGCAGCGGCACCACTAGCGCCAGCAGCGCTGGCAACCGAGGGTGCAGGCGTGGTGTTGCGAGCAGCTGTGCGCAGCCGTGCGTGCCTCTTCCATGCAGGGGTGCCTGTGGGGACAGCGATGGCGACAGATGGGGACAAGGAGGATGAATGCAGGCATGAGTTAGCGACAAACGAGAGAGGCACAATTGTGAGATGTGTCAAAGCCATGCGCGGCGGGGCGTGCCTCTTCCACACAGGGGTGCCTGTGGCCCTGTGGGGACAGCGGTGGCGACAGATGGTGACAAGGAGGATAAATGCAGGCATGAGTTAGCAGCAATCTGAGGATTCATTTGTAAAGTCACAGAGCACAGAAGCTCAGACAACTGTGGAGAGAGATGGATGACATTACCTGCAAGGCAAAGGCATTCAAGGCAAAGGCATGGAAGGCAAGGGCATGCAAGACAAAGGCATGAGAGGCACAAGCATGAGGCAGAAAGCCCTGGCACGGCACAGCATGCAAACATGCCTTCTCCAGGTCTGTTTGTGCCTCTCCCAATCCCTCTGTACCTCTCCCACTCCCTCTGTACCTCTCCCACTCCCTCTGTACCTCTCCCACTCCCTCTGTACCTCTCCCACTCCCTCTGTGCCTCTCCGGCTCCCTCTTCGTCTCTCCCGCTCCCTCAGTGTCTCTCCTACTCCCTCTGTGTCTCTCCCACTCCCTCTGTGTCTCTCCCACTCCCTCTGTGTCTCTCCCACTCCCTCTGTGTCTCTCCCACTCCCTCTGTGTCTCTCCCACTCCCTCTGTGTCTCTCCCACTCCCTCTGTGTCTCTCCCACTCCCTCTGTGTCTCTCCCACTCCCTCTGTGTCTCTCCCACTCCCTCTGTGTCTCTCCCACTCCCTCTGTGTCTCTCCCACTCCCTCTGTGTCTCTCCCACTCCCTCTGTGTCTCTCCCACTCCCTCTGTGTCTCTCCCACTCCCTCTGTGTCTCTCCCACTCCCTCTGTGTCTCTCCCACTCCCTCTGTGTCTCTCCCACTCCCTCTGTGTCTCTCCCGCTCCCTCAGTGTCTCTCCCACTCCCTCTGTGTCTCTCCCACTCCCTCTGTGTCTCTCCCACTCCCTCTGTGTCTCTCCCACTCCCTCTGTGTCTCTCCCACTCCCTCTGTGTCTCTCCCACTCCCTCTGTGTCTCTCCCACTCCCTCTGTGTCTCTCCCACTCCCTCTGTGTCTCTCCCACTCCCTCTGTGTCTCTCCCACTCCCTCTGTGTCTCTCCCACTCCCTCTGTGTCTCTCCCACTCCCTCTGTGTCTCTCCCACTCCCTCTGTGTCTCTCCCACTCCCTCTGTGTCTCTCCCACTCCCTCTGTGTCTCTCCCACTCCCTCTGTGTCTCTCCCACTCCCTCTGTGTCTCTCCCACTCCCTCTGTGTCTCTCCCACTCCCTCTGTGTCTCTCCCACTCCCTCTGTGTCTCTCCCACTCCCTCTGTGTCTCTCCCACTCCCTCTGTGTCTCTCCCACTCCCTCTGTGCCTCTCCCACTCCCTCTGTGCCTCTCCCACTCCCTCTGTGCCTCTCCCACTCTCCCTGTGCCTCTCCCTCTCCCTCTGTGCTTCTCCTGCCCCCACTCTGCCTACCTTCATCGTTCCCCTGAAAGGGACCTGATTGCACTGCGTCTTGATTCATCCGCCCATCCATGTCCACATGCTGCTGCCCACCCGCATTCACCAACCTTCGCCCCTCCCTCCGCTCCATCCCCCCACGCCTGCCCTGCCCCCTCTCTCTCTCCTCCCGCAGCCAGCTTGCCAGCCCGCCTGGCAGCGGGGATCCCTCACTCCCTGCGCCTCCCCCTTCCCCATTCCCCCCTTCTCCTCTCCCCGCGCCTCCACCCGCCCCCCCTCCCCCTCCCCCTCCCCCTCCCCCTCCCCCTCCCCCTCCCCCTCCCCCTCCCCCTCCCCCGCCTCCTCCCCATCCGCCTGCTGCGCTGATGGCTGCTGCGCGTCCGGGCCCTGTGCTGAGCGCGTGGGCGGGGGAGAGGGCGTGGGGGCGCAGGTGGTCCGCGTAGAGGCCTGATAGGGGGAACGGGAAAGGGGACGAGGAAGGGGTGGAGGAAGCGAGGAAACAGAAGCGGAAGGGAGGCGGAGGCGGAGTGTCAAGAGGAGGACACAACAAGCGTAGGGAATTGCATGGGAGACAAGGTGGGGGACTGGAGGCGCTGGTGAGTCTGCTTGCATGCGTGCAAACGCACTCACCATACTCCGCTGCAGGAGCCAACAACGACCTTCCACCAGCAGCAGCACCCGCAGCAGCAGCAGCAGCAGCATGGTCATGACGACCACTAGGTCTCTCTATTCTCGCTGACGTCACCTCCTCCCCACCCTCCTCCCTCCCTACCCCCCTTCCAAATCGCCTCCCCCTAACCTCCGCCTTCCCCTTCCCCTTTTCCGCACCCCCTTCCGCCCATATTCCCCCATCGCCTCGCTCCCCCCGCCCCTCTTCCCCCTCTATCCGCGGCCCAACACCCGAAAGCGCCCCAGATAGCTCCTTCTGCGGGGAAGCTTCCGCCACAGGCGCGCCTATCCCTTGCGCTCCTCTAACGCGGGGGCCGCTGGTGCATGAGCGCGCGCCGTGATTGCAGGAGGAGGGCGCGCCGTGCTTATAACGGGGGGACGCGCCAGGGCAGGAGGCGAGGGAACGGGCGGAGGAGGCGGAGGAGTAGCGCGCGGACGCGTGGGGCGACCGCTGGGCGGGCCTTGGCGGAGAGCCATGGGGGAAGGCGGAGTACGGGGCGTGCGGGGCGTGGGGGGTGTGCGGGGAGAATGGGGGGCCATGGGGGGAGAATAGGGGGGCGGAGCATGCGCCGAGAGGGGGGCCTGAGGAGCCGACTACGGACTCCGCGGCGGCGTGCTGCTGCCTGCTGCGGTGGCACCGCCGCTTGTGGTGTACCACCGCTGCTGCCGCTACCGCGCCCCCCGCTAGAAGCACCCACGGGAGCGCGTCTCTGGGTAACTGTGGGCACAAGACGAGGAAAGCGGGGTAGGAAGAGTGTGTCATTTCTTGCGTTGACGAACGTCAAACGCGAGAGAGCGGAGCGGGCCTATGCGGAATGGTGCTCGCTCCTTACCCTCTCAGAGGATATGAACCATCCGCGTGGCTTTCGTCGTGTCTTTCCTCAACTTCCGTCGTGACTTTCCTCGTGGGCTTCTCCTCACTACTTACCCTAGGAGGCGACGGTTCCCGCGGGCGTATGCGACTGAAGTCGTAATACACCTGCTCCGCCTGTTCCCCCTGCGCCTGCCGCTCTTGCGCCAGCTGCTGCTGCCGCCCTTGCTGCAGCTCCTGCTGCGTCTCCCCTCTTCCGCGTTCCCCCAGGTCCCCCCTTCCCCTCCCCCTGTCCACCTCCGCCTCTCGGGTCCTCTCCCGCTCCGCCTCGCGCATTCGTCGCAGCAGCAGCAGCTGCTCGCGCGCGGCCTCCTCCTCCCGCCGCTGCAGCTCCCGCAGAAGCTCGCTGCGGTTCATCCTCGCCTCGAGCCACGTGGACGAATCTGAGACGTTGACTCCCGACGGCTTTAAGCTAGACTCACAAGTATCGTCGATTTATTCTCGAGCCATTTGAGCTAGGTCAATGACAGATGGTGCCCTTCTGATCCGCTTGAAGAACATCTGGCAACGGAAGGTCCGTTTCAGAAAATTATTACGACAAGACTGAAAGCGCTGACGACCTTTAAGTCTTCTACCAGAAATGCGGCCTGACAAGCTTTCGCTTTTGACACAATGCGGAGTGTCAGCATCCGAAATGGAGGGAAGCGCGAAAGAGAAATAAAGTTCCCAAATGCGTCTGGACTTACTCTGAAGGTTACGTCAACCGGAGCCTGCTAATGCCTAGGCTGTCCGCATGGTCCTAAACTGTGCCAAGCTAATGCCTAGGCTGTCCGCATGGTCCTAAACTGTGCCAAATGCACGCAGCCACGGAATAGCTTTTGAAGAACATGGTCACGCAACTAATGCGGAACAGCAAGGGCACCACCAACTGCAGGTCAGAAGGTCCCCCAGCTGGTCGTTTATTGGAGATAAGCTAGGTATTTCAGGCCGAAGCTAGGTCTTTCCTCCAGGTTCTGTCCGCGTCTTGCTCTGTTCTGTTCCGTTGGTTGGCTTCCGTTCCTCATTCGACGTCACCAAGGAAGTTCGAACGAACCGCGCTTCTTGAAAACCGTCTCGGCGCGAAAGCTCAGACCCGTTGTATGACATTCCAACAAGGTGTACCTGGATGTTTGAAGTCTCTAAGTGCATACCATATGTAAGTAACTTCAAATTTCACGATACGCAATATTCTTTGCATGTGTAAGGAATTTTCTCGATATTCCTTAGCGCGCCTTGCAACATCGCGTACAGAAGCATTCGTTGTTCGCCCGTTACTGCTAACGGGGCTTCGCCGACTTCGCGCACACTGTTTCACCAAACCTCGCACTGCTGGCCTGGCCGTATCGGCCTATGCTTCGGGACTAGCCCGAGCCTCGCTTCCAGCATAGCACTAGCTAGCTCGCACGCACCGCGTTACCGTTTGCATGTTTCTCGTATAAATGTTCGCTCATGCCTTTGTTAGAAGTATAGGCAGGAAATGAATGAACTATGGAAGAGTTGGGTACAAATATCAAACCCTAGAAGGGGTTGTACCTACCCCACTACAGCCTAAACATATATAGCATACATAATCTGACACACCCCCATAGGCAAAGTGGGGGAGAGCAAGGGGTCACAAGACCAGTCAAGAAAGGCAAAGCAAGCTCAGGGTGGATCACAACGTCACCACACACTCTGAGCACAAGCAAAGGGCCACAAGGCCAGTTCGTATGCAGAGATATATATATGCAACAACAGCAGTACAGTGATCTCTACCTAGCAGAGCAAGCAAGCAGGTATATACATATAGATCACAGTACAAGCAGAGTCTACAGCAAGTGAGGAAACGTGGGCACAAGGCCCAGCAAGGTACAAAAGCGCTGATGATCACCAGGCGGAAGTGCCTTGGTGAATATATCAGCAGTGTTGGCCCGAGTGGCCACGTAGGCAAGACGAAGCTGACCACGCTGCTGCAACTCTCGAGCCAGGAAGTAACGCAGAGCAATGTGCTTCGTTCTGTGCTCAAATCTGTGCTCCTCACACAAGGCAATGGCAGCCTTGTTGTCGACGTACAGCACTAGAGGAGAACGAGGCCGCTCTCCCAGGTCGGTCAGCAGGTAGGTGAGCCAGCATAACTCCTGTGCAGCCATGGCTGTGGCGTAGATCTCAGCCTCACAACTGGAGCCGAGAACAGAAGACGAGCGTGTAGAACGCCAAGAAACTGAACCAGAGCCAAGGCTGAAGGTGTAACCCTGTGACGACCGCTGAGTAGCCTGGTCGTCAACCCAAGAAGCGTCCGAGTGACCAGTGAAGACAACCTCACTCCGCCCTCCAAGCACGAGCCCCATGCCTGATGTACTGCACAAGTAACGCAGTACCCTCTTCGCAGCATCCATGTGCACCTTTCGGTGCCGACCAGGAGCCACGTAGCGAGCCAGAAGGCCAAGAGGGTACGCGAGGTCAGGACGAGTGCAGGTCATCAGGTACATGAGGCAGCCAACTAGCTCTGGGTAAGGACCACTCGGCTCTACGGACTCGTCCGAAGGTGGAGCTGAGAGCGAGTGACCTGTAGCCAGAGGAGTGGCCTGTGCCGAGGACCAGATGAAGCCGAAGCGCTGAAGGACCTGCTGCACCATGTGTGACTGAGTCAGGGTGATGGTGCGGCGTGCTCTGTCCCGGGTGATCTGCAAGCCAAGGTAGCTGCGCAGCTCACCCAGGTCTGTGCACGTGTGTCTCTTCTGCAGCTCCGACTTCACCAGGGCGAGAGCCTCAGTGTCAGCAGTGGCAAAGACCAAGACGTCGACGTACACGAGGATGTAGAACGGCGGCAGCAAAGTGTCGGTGCGAAGAAACAGCGACGGGTCAGCAGTCGACGGAGCAAACCCAAGAGCCGCTAGTGTCGTCCTCAGTGTGTCGTGCCACTCACGCGGCGCCTGGCGGAGACCGTAGACCGGCCGTCGGAGACTCCACTGGGTACAAGGAGGGAACGACCCAGTGAAGCCAGGCGGGCGGCGCAACCAGATCTCCTCGTGCAGGCTGCCCTGCAAGAAAGCTGTGCTGAAGTCAAGAGAGTGAAGCTCGTAGTCACGCTGAGCGGCAACGTGCAGCAGCACCCGAAGAGTGGTCATCTTCGGGGTGGGGGAGAAGGTCTGAAAGAAGTCAACTCCCTGTCGCTGACTGAAACCTCGAGCAACGTAGCGAGCCTTGAAGACAGGCGGAGAACCTGGCGGCCGCTTCACCCTGAAAATTCACATGCCACTGACGATGTTCGCCCCAGGAGGAGGAACCTCGTCAACGTAAGTGCCTGTGGACTTCCAGGATGCCATCTCTGCATCCATGGCTGTCTGCCACTGAGAGGAGTACTCACCCGCGATCGCCTCAGCGTAAGAGCGCGGGGTCGCGATGTCTGGAGCATCCGTGTCTCCCTCAGGGGCAAGCAGCATGGACACGAGATGAGGCGCAGCGGCTGCAAGACACTCAAGGTCCTCCTGCCTGTCCTCAAGGACGTCCGTGCCAAGAGCACACTCACCCCCGACGGACGGAGGACAGACAGACTCAGACTCAACAACAAGACTAGCGGCGTAGTCTAGACGACAGGCAGCAGCAAAGTCAACCAGCTCAGCGACCAAGGCAGACGCAGCAGCAGACTCAAACGATAGGTCAGTGATAAAAGTGGCTAGCAGACGCGTGACAGTAGAGTGAGCAGCACGGGTGCGGTCAGACTCAGGCTCAGGGACGGTAGGCAGAGAAGACGCAGGAGGGGAAGGCAGGGGAACACGCTGCGGAGGAGAGGAAGGACGAAGGACGACAAGGCGGGTGCCGGGGACAGCCGGCTGACGCGAACGAGGGACACTACGACCGGAACAACCAGACCTGACAGGCGAAACAGGACGCGACGCAGGCTCACGACGCTCAGTAAGACCCCCTGACTGCTCAGTGTAAGGAGAAGGAGCAGGCAGCGGTGAGCCAGGCTGTAACGGAAGACCAGTAGACGAAGGGAGACTAAGAACCTGGCGAAGCACAGAGTCAGGCGGTGGCTGAGACGACGGAGCAAAGAACCGGCGCGGCTGGGCAGTGTCACTAGCACCAGCAGCTCCAGTACCTCCAGCAGCTCCAGAACCCTCAGCTCCAGCTCCTCCAGGACCAGCTCCACCAGCAGCAGCACCCCCAGAACCGGCACCTCCAGTCCCAGGGTCTCCAGCCTCAGTGTCTCCAGCAGCAGCACCCCCAGCCCCAGGGTCGCCAGCAGTAGTAGCCTCCGGCTCAGTAGCACCTCCAGCCCCAGCAGCTCCAGTACCTCCAGTACGAGCACCTCCGGGACCAGCACCACTCCCAGCTCCAGTGACAGCAGCAGAAGTACCTCCAGCGGCAGAGCCCCGAGCTCCAGAAGCACGACCCTGACGGCGACCGTACCAGTCGTGCAGCTGCTGTGAGGTGAGAGGCACACGCGGACGAAGGTGGCGACTCCAAGGAGACCGCACAACAGCAGACTCAGAACCCTCAGCGCCAGCACCCGCAGCAGCTCCAGAACCTCCAGCAGCAGCACCCTCAGCAGCTCCAGAACCTCCAGCGCCAGCACCCTCAGCAGCTCCAGAACCTCCCGCGCCAGCACCCGCAGCAGCTCCAGAACCTCCAGCGTCAGCACCCTCAGCAGCTCCAGAACCTCCAGTAGAAACGACTCCAGTAGTAGAGTCACCAGCGCCAGCGCCTCCCGCAGTAGGGCCCCTAGCTCCAGCAGCGCGACCCTGACGGCCAGCGTACCACTCACGCAGTTGCTGTGGGGAGAGAGGGGGTCGACGACTAGAGTGCAGCGGCGAGGCACCAGCGGAGCGACTGCGGAGACGGCCGCTCCAGGGAGACTGCTCACCAGACTCCTCAGTGCCCCCAGGCGCAGCACCCCCAGACCCCTCACACTCAGGCTCAGCACCTCCAAGCTCCGCACCCCCAGGCTCCGCACCCCCAGGCTCCGCACCCCCAGGCTCAGCACCCCCAGGCCCAGCACCCCGAGGCCTAGCACCCCCAGAAGCAGCACCCCAAGCAGGACCTGAGTCACCAGTGACCTCAACCGGCGTAGGCAAGGGAGGAGGGTCTACCTGAGACACACCTGAAGGAGCGGGACCGGGAGCGGGGAGGGGGTCTACCTGGGTAGCACCTGGAGCGAGGAAGAGCGGCGGGGGGGGGGAGAGGGGCAGTGCGGTAGGGGAAGAGACGGTAAAAGGGAACCGACTCGTCAAACGTGACGTCATGAGAGGGGAAGACACGGCGCGAGGTGGGGTGGTAAAACTGCCAACCAGGCGCGTCAGGGACAAAGCCAAGGAAGACACAGGGAACAGCGCGGGCTGAGAGCTTGTCCGCGGTGGTATCGCGGACAAAGGCACGAGAACCCCAGACCTGGAAAC